AACATCAGATGTGCCTGAGGGTGGCATCCGTCAAATACATATGGACGAAGGTATTTTCGATTTTGAATATCCCGAAACAATTGCTAAGGAGGATTTTGATCAGGTTTTCAACCATTCTGAATTGGGCATCGATGTTCTGCATTCATACATCAGGTACTACGATCCATTTTAATTAAATAATTGAACATTTTAAAATTTGCTCGTTTAACTGAATATTCTAATGTTAATTATGTTTTTTTTAGGTTCTTGTATGACAAGTTGTTGGTCCCGAATGAATTGACTTCAGTATTCGCATTCTTATCTGCTAGCTGTGTCAACTCACAGATAATAGACCAGACACCAGATACAATCAAAGAGTACACACTGCAGAGATTTATGCGCGCGACTACAGAGAAGTTGTTCTTGTTGCCATATAATACTGGCTATGGGTTAGATTTTATTCTAAATTCATTTATTATAATTGTTCGATTTTTCCCTTTCTATATAACATTTCCGTCTAAACTGTTGTCTTATTTTATAGTGGACATTGGTTGTTGGTCGCGATTAATCCGAGGAAAGAAATAGTGTATTATATAGATTCATTGGATGACGATACAACAAAATATGAAAATCTGAGGAACATGGTTGATACGTAAGTGATGAGATATACTGTTGTCTTTAATTATATATCTTTATTTATTACGTGACATTGTTCTAAATATGCGTTTATATTATGTTAGAGTTATACAAATATTCAGAGCACAAAGAGATGCAACGGTGCCAAAAAACAAGGCTAACAACATCAACTGGATCAGAGTGGAGGTATATTTTCCCATGTTTGACTGTTATATTGGTTCTACTTGATAAAACTATTTAAACTATATATCCTGATAAATGTTCGTTTGTTTTTTCCATTTACAGTGTCCTCGGCAGCGCAATGGTATTGACTGTGGATATTTTGTATTGTGATTTATGAGGGAAATTATTCTTTCTGGTCAACTTGAGATTCCAGTCATGGTATGGATCAATTCATTATATAAGTTATATGATTCATTTTGATAATTATCCGATACTTCATCTGAGTAATTAATTTTAAAATTAAATCTTGCATGTTCTGTTATATTATGTAGTATTTTGATGAATTCAAGTGCGCTACTTACACGAAAACAAAATTGGAAGAAATTAAAGAGGAATGATGTCAATTTATTCTTGGGTTGAGAATTGTATAGAGTTATCGGATTGGAAGAATTGTAATTATATGTAAATTGAATGTATTTGTGATGTTGTAATTCTGAGGATCGAATTTTGTTGTAACATATTTAAATAGATTTATGTGTATTAAAATGTTTATGAACAAAGTGATGAGTTACAATGTATCCAAAGTTTTGAATTGTATATATAATGCCAAAGTTTTGAATTGTATATTTAAGGCCAAAGTTTTGAATTGTATATATAAGGCCAAAGTGTTGAAATAAATGCCTGAATTATAAGCAGGTTTGTGTAATATAAGCAGGTTGTTGGTAAATATACAAAACAGGGTGAATATTTTTTTTAAAAATTTTTTTAAAATCTGGGACATTAGACAGCGCTTTTACAAAAAAAGCGCTGCTAAAGGTCACAAACATTGCGCTACAAAAGCGCTGCTATAGGTTTGGAAGGGGGGGGGGTCTAAGACAACGCTTCTAAAAAGCGCTGCTAAAGAGGGGGCTATGGCAGCGCTGCTAAATGTGGGCTCTAAGACAACGCTTTGTGAAAGCGCTGCTAAATGGGGGGATGGTTGGGGGGAATATGCAGCGTTTATGAAAGCGCTGCTAAATGACTATAAAAGCGCTGCTAAAAGTGCTGCTGAAGGGAGCCTTTAGAAGCGCTTTTTCCATAAAAAAAGCGCTGCCTTTACCTTTAGCAGCGCCACTTTTGGCAGCGCTTTAAAGCGCTGCTAAAGGTTTTTTTTGGCATAGTGATAGTGTAACAGAATTCTGTTACATATGCAGAAGAGCAAGAGAGAAAAGGAAGAAAGAGTGAAAAGAAGTTATGTTATTGATATTCAATGTACACAAGAGAGGACTATATATACATATGTAGTCTACAAGTGTAAAGTAACTAAACTCTTTATTTCTTATCTCTAATACAACGAATGATCCACAACATCACATCACATAATCACCGATGAAGCTTCGTTCTGTTATAGCTTATGTAATTTTATCATTGATTAAATTATTGTTAATAGAAATTTATAATAAACTTTAAGATTAAAAAAAGATTTTGATTTGTTTTCCTAGTATTTTTAATTAAATATATATTTTTTATATTTTAAATAAGTTAAGAAAGCAATAAATTATATATATATATATATATATATATATATATATATATATATATATATATATATATATATATATATATATATATATATATATATATATATATATATATATATATATATATATATATATATATATATATATATATATATATATATATATATATATATATATATATATATATATATATATATATATATATATATATATATATATATATATATATATATATATATATATATATATATATATATTAGAGACCAAATTTATAATTTTAATTCTAATTTAAAAAAATTATAATATTAAGGTATGGATCTATTACGAATTATAATTCTTAGAATTATATTTTGGTAACTAAACTTATATCTAAAAATATATAGTTATTTCAATTATTTAGATATGAATATGATAAATACTAAATTTAAATCTTATTTCTGGGATTCGATTAACTATTTTGAATGGAAAATGCTTAATAACCGTGTCATTTTATTTGATTTAAATTTTATTTTTGTTTTAAGTTTCAATTTTGATGCACATAAAATTTGAGAGATAAGGTAAATATTATTTTTTAATATATGTATTTATTATATATTATTGTGAAAATATACATGATATATTTTGAATACATCTCAAAATGTAAGGTAAACTTTAAAGATTTGATTTTTTAAATTTTGGATATTTTGCATTTTAAAATTGTTTTTGTTGATTCTAAAATTATCTATTTAAAGAATTATTTGGTGTATATGTGAATATAATGTGACATTTGTTTTTGGATAGATAAATAATTAATATTCACCTAATTTAAAATTAAATATTTTGTTGTTTGAGTTTATTGATAAATTTTATACAATAATATGGATTTTTTAATCATGCATTTCGGATAGATTCTTAATATTTATGTTTTATTTTGAGTTTGTTTTTAAATTATGGATTGTCAAGAAATCTTATTACGGAATAGAGAGGAGACATCACCCAATATAATCGTCATTTCAACAAATGAAAAATGAAAGGGAGATATCTTTTTATGCCATCGCTCAACAAAGACTATCGATAGCTGACAGTCGAGCATGATTGTGGACAGTTAACTAGTGAAATGAGATCGCATTCCTCAACAATCGTCTTAACCTCCTCTAACATTAGGACATCTGAGGATTTCTTCAACTACGGTACGTCTATATCAAAAGAAAAGTTTTAAAAAAACATAAGTTATTTTCATTGTATGAATAATAAATAAAAGCACATTATGAATGTCACATAATTGACATATCACATACATATCTCTCCATGCCATAATTTAAATGCCACATGATTAACATATCTAGTGAGAACATAATAGTCATTGGGCCCTCTAAAAAACTATTCATTTGTGTGTGCGGATGACTCCATCGAAGCCGGAGCAACAACCTCTGTCTCAACAGGAAAAATGACCTTAATATCATCCGTAGCAAACGCCACCCAAGGATTGAGTCACTGGTCTATCCAAATATATCCTCTATAGGTATTGTGGAGTACACAAAACTGCTCGACCGTCAATCGCCTCTTGTGAGAATCGGTAGGAGCTGCTCTCTCCGTCCAAATATGCGAAGTCACTACGTCATCTTCCCTCACCCGAGCTCCACTAAAAAACAAAATTATTTAACCAATCATATTTTTTGAAAAATCCAGCAACACTATGACCATATTCGATTTTTTTTAAATCTATAAATATGTATACATGTTTTCAATAAATATGTATTTTTGTGAAATTTTTCATAAAATTTATAAAAATGTAAGCATTTTTATCAATTTTTTTAAATGCATACACAATATGTGTTTTTATTGGATATTTCCAAAAAAATCTATATAACTGCATGAAAAACTGAGATGCATTAGAAAATACGGTAAAAATTAATACTTAGTGCTTATAAGTTTGAAATATCCAGTAGCCTATTTAAAAAATCTGATAATCTCTTGAGATTTTGTAAAAATTCAAAATGACTCAATGAATTTGTAACATGAGTTTTAATATTTTGCAGAGTTAAAATGATAAATACATAGGATTTGTGGGGGTGTTAGACGAGAGTTGAAGGATAAAATCTCAATCAACTTTGCCAAGACCCTTTTTTTACAAAGTGTTATTGTTGAGATTTTTGTACACTCGCGCGCGTTGCATCCTTTTTTCAAATATCAACAAAAGAAATTAGAAGATTATCATTCTCCTTATGATTATGATGTGGAAGATTATCATACACTAGTAAGCGCACAAAATTATGGCACTTGTGAAATAACAATCCCGAAGTACTTTTTTTTCTAACTTGACACTATTAGTTATTGACATTGTCAGTTAGATTTGTTAAATCAAAACCTGTTGGTGATATCATACATAGGAGTTACCTTACATCCAGATTATTAAAAGGAAAAAGCTCTATATCGGTAAAGACTATTATTACATTCCAATTGAAATAGTCCTCTCATTCACCAAATCACAAAGACACATAGAAACAGTTAAAAACACAGGAAACAACATTAACAATCCAAGCTTAATAAATCCCAGACACAAATAGATGCAGTTTTAGAAACATCAAAGCTTAAGACCAAAGTCACTTTCAGGTAGTTCTTTTTTCCTCAATCAACAATTACCAATCTATACAATAACCCAGATATACAGGGTTGACACTAGTACTCAATAACACTCAACAAACTTCTGCAGTTGCGGCCTCTCTAGAACGCTTCTGCAGTTGCGGCCTCTCGAGGAGAATCAAGAGATATCACGGTTTCAAATGCACCAACTAGAGCCTTAACCTTGCTCTTCCTTAGTCCAGCAAGTTTGCTTGCAGTTTCTTCAATGACATTATTATACAAACCTGTATTTTGTTTTCTCCCTTCTACGTTTTGATGCCTCAAAACAACTTTCTCAGATCCTGATTTTGAACCAGATACCTTGGTTCTATCTACACCACCAACCTTTCTTGCCAAACTTCTGCTTTTACCTCTTTCCGTAGTTTGGTGCTTAAGATCAATTTTTTCAGTTTTGATACTTGCAGCATTTAACTCAGCACCGTCAGTAATGATCCTTTTTCTTGTGCCATTTGCTTCTCTTCTGGCGTCATCGCTAAGCAAGCGCACCGGCTTGAATTTGAGTATTTTCTCTGTTTTGATACTTGCACCATTTAACTCAGCACCGTCCGCTTCCTTTTTGGTAATGATCCTTTTTCTTGTGCCATTTGCATCTCTTCTGGCGTCATCGCCAAGCAAGCGCACCGGCTTGAATTTGAGTCTCCTTGGAATGTTGTTGCTTTGAGGCTGAATTTCAATCACGTTTCCTCTCCTAAAAGTTAACTTCCTTGATGGAATAGCTTTATTTGCTCCCCCAACTACTGTGGTCCTCTTTGGCCTGATTTTGTACCCTACCTTCAAATGTTCACCCTGATTAACATGTCCTGTTTTGTTGGGCTTAGAAGTAGTACCATTTTGTTTTCTGAGGGAAGAGTTAGATGAAGAAACGGATGATAACGCTGATGATGATCGCGAAATGCTGTGTGTTTTAAGCTGTATGTTTGTTTTGAATTTGTTCCCTGAGGATTGATGAGTCAGTGTTCCATGTCCAACATGTCTAAGGCCCTTCCTTGAAGATGCAGACCCCGCAGACCTGCCAGTTTTCTTACTGGTCCTCTTTAAGCTTTTGTCCTTTAACGCTGACAACGATGAAGGTGAAGGAGAAGGTGGCTTAGTTGCACCACAAGCCAGAGTAGTAGGTTCCTCGGATAAATTTTCCATGGTTGGTTCAATGGCATGCAAAATTTTCTCTGGTAAATTGTTGACTTCTTCACCATTCTCATGATTTTTCGTAGAAGACACTCTTTTCAAGTTTTTGGCAGTCTCACTTGAGCTTGACGATTTCTTGACATTTTGTTTTGAAGACAAGAGAAAACTTGATGCTGATGACTTATCCTTTCCTCCATTGGAAGATGTTGTTTTCTGGTTGCTTCTGATTGCAGTTTCTTTTTTGCTGCTTGAACCAAAAGCACATTTGTTTTTGACTAATTTCGATTTTCTTTGACTTTTGGAACATTCCTTCACATGAAGAGAAGATACCTCAGCACTTTCTCGTACCATGTCGCTGTTATTATGCTCCATGGAAACCTCTATTTCTTCATAAGGTGTTAAAATTTTTTCGGAAATTGCTGTTTTATCATTTGTTATTACTTCCTTGATGTCAACACCATAATTACGAAGTTGTGAACTTCCTGATTTATCAGTCCCATCCAATGAAGTTACATTGGCTTTTCTTTCCCTCCTTTTCTTTGCTGTTTTCCATGGTTTTTCTTCGGTGGCATGCTGGATACCATATTTGCATAAATCATGGCAGGAACTCCTACGCTCACGAAGATAACGCGAAAGAATCTTAGCCGGACCTTTTGTGATAATGAAATCCTCATTATGATTTGCTTTCTCATCAACATCTTCTGGCTCAATCATCTCAGACTCCTCTTGATTATCACTAATTTCCTCTCCTTTTGTGATAATTAAACCCTGATTAGGATTATCTTTCTCATCAACATCTTCTCGCTCAATCATCTCAGTCTCCACTTGATTAACATCAGTTTCCTCTCCACACGCCACGATTAAACCTTCATTAGGATTTGCTTTCTCATCAACATCTTCTGGCTCAATCATCTCAGACTCCACTTGATAAGACATCATTAGGATTAGACAACAATTTCAAAAAGCCCTGCAATAGATAAGAAGAATGAGCAGAAGTTAGTAAGATCGAGTGGAAATCTAAAACAAAAATAATAATTCAGACATGTTTAAGGATTTCACAAACATCAACATAACACATAGACAATAACCTTAAAACATAGCTAATATTTGGTAAATCTGTTAAAACAAACCGGACATAATCCATGATTGAATTCCATGACTAGGAGATCCATACATGATATGCAAAATAACATAATAACATGATAGATTCAGATTAATTTCATGCCAAAAATATTGTAATGATAAGATAAGAGAATAAAAAGCAATGTTATGACTAGAGACCCTTTATAGGTATGATGTGAGGATGTGAGAGAATAATCCGTTGAAAAGAAGCCATGACATATGATAAATTAAAGAGAAGGCATGCATGGATGAATAAAAATGAAGATTGAAGATTAATATTAATGAATACACATACCTTGTTTGATTTCTTAAAAGGAAAGAAAGAGAGGTGGAAGGAATGGAAGAAGAAGGATGATGTATTAGTTGTGTTGTGATTTTGAAAAAATGGTTGGATGCAAACCCAAAAGAGGTGGCGTCGTTTTGTTGAGTTGAAAAGGTGGCGTTTGAAAAAGAAGAAACCAGGGAATATACGCGTTTGTTTGTGGAGAGAGAGAACAGAGAGATAGAGAGAGAAAGTAAAAGAGAAAGAGAGTCCCACCAGAGGGTATAGGTGATGAGGAAAGAATAACAGTCTGTCACCCTAACCATGCAAATATGATTACAATAGAGGAGGGAATGGGGTGGGATGAGATAGCTTAGAACAGAAGGAACGAGGCACGTCAACATATCCTTTATTCAATCATATCACGTTTTTCTTTCCCTACCACCTTTTTTTTAACAACCTGTTTTTTCCTTATACATGTGTATTTTTTATATGGGAAAATTATCATTAATTAGAGTCATAGTAATTATTTAGTATATTTTATTCGGTTTTACTACACACCTCTTAAGTTATTTTTATTTATAAAGCATTTATAAATTAAAGAAAAGTATAAATATAAATATAAGATTCAATTGGATATCAATCCACTTTAAATGATTTAAGGTGAGAAATTCCCCTCACGAGATATTCAAGATAGATTTTCTGATATTCAGTTTTACTACATTTATCTTGAATCTTGATTTGACTTGAGCGTCGAAATGTTAATCTTTGAGATCCACCACTGCGTCACCGTATCAAATATCTGCAGAATTAGTTCAAGATTCCTCACCATCAATGTACACCTTATTCTAGTTCTAAAATGGAACACTAATGCCATATGTGAGAATTGACTCCTAATTCCCGTGAAAATTTTAAGACCAGATTATCTACGATCCAAAACCAGATCCCTACCGGAAGCATTAGAAAAGGAAGCATCGACTCCCTTCACCATGTCAAAGAGATACCAATCTTCCGATTTAGTCCCACACCAGTTGTTTTCTATCGACAAGATTTGTAGTGCCACGACATCTAGGGAAGACCGGTCGTTAAAATGCCTTTCTCCAATTACAATTACCTCGAATAGCAAAACATGGATCGACTGGCGATAAAATTTCTAGATAGTCCTTGCAGAATGATAGGTTTGACGTTGTGGTTGAGAGAAGGAGTGTGTGGGAGAAAGGTAACCGAGAGCTTTCCATCTCACCACACGAGATGTCTGACATCGATCCCACAGTGGTCTGACATCAATTAAATATCGATCTCGACGATCGCTACGTCTCCCAATAGTGAAGACGATAGTCCCCGGAGAAAGTTGAAGCTACCATGAGCATATTGAAATGCCTAATAGATGCAAGATTCATTTCAAGGTGAAGTATACATAATGGTTGTCCAACGTCGTTCTAGTGAAGAAATCCTCGGGGAAGTGAAAGATGTGTGTTGACTACACAGATCTTAACAGAGCATACCGGAAAGAGTCTTACCCACTCTTGAACATTGTCAAACTTGTAGATAATTCAGATGGGTACAAGTTACTATCCTTCATGGATGTTAACTCCAGATATAATCAGATACCCATGTTTGGGCCCAATCGAATAAGATAACATTCATGACCGAGCAAGTCAATTACCAATACAAAGAAATGTCATTTGGGTTGAAGAATGCTGGTGTGACGTATTAGAGGATGATGAACAAGATCTTTCAAGGAGTGGTGAGGGAGATTCTAGAAGTGTGCATGGATGACGTAAAATCTGGTCAAGAGGAACTCCATGCTCAACACCTATAACGAGTATTCAAAAGGGTCTAACGTATAAAATAAGTCTTAATCTAGAGAAGTGCACCTTCAGGGTAAGAGCCAACAAGTTCTTAGGTTTCTACCTAATTAAGAAGGGAATCGAAGCAAACCCCGACAAGTGTGAGACAGTGGTCAAAGTGAGCGCTCAAACCACAAAGAAATGGCCTAAAGGCTAAACAACGTGTTGACTGCTTTGAACAAGTTCATTTCAAAATCCGCTCAACTTGCATTGCCTTTTTACACACTATTGAGGAAGGAGGCGAGATTCAAATGGACACCCGACTATGAAGAGGAATTTGAGTCAATGAAAAAAACCATGGCCACACTGCCAATGCTCACTCGGCCGCTCTGGGAGAGGCGATGTATTTGTACCTAGCAGTCGCACATGAGGCGGTGAACGTCGTCCTGATTAGAGAGTCCCACTATAACTAGATTCATGTGTACTTTATATCGAAAACCCTAGCGGGAGAGGAAACACGATACTATAAGATTTAGAAAGAAACCCTAGCATTAGTGACAACATCATGCAAGCTTAGAAGGTACTTCCTTTTACATCCCATAATCGTTCAGATGGAACTTTCCCCTGAAGCTGGTGCTTTGCTTACCGGATCTGGTAGGAAGTTTGACGAAATGGGCCATTGAGTTTTCGGAGTTTGAAGTGTTGCTCGATGCAAGGAAAGCATTGAAGGCTCAAATATGTTAAACATGTGACTTCCCACACAAGATGAGGGGTGAATTGTGTGATTCCGAAAAACATGGTTTAAAATTATTTTTGGTTTAGAATCAGAGTTTAAAATTTTTTTGAAAGTTGTTTTAATATTAAGTAGTAGAGAAAATAAAATTTGTAGAATATAAATTACGAAAAGTAAAAAGTTAAGGACAAAGAGAGAACATCGAGTATTATAGAAGTTCGGTCAAATAAAGAAAAATGACCCACTTCTCTCTCCAAGAATTGATCTTGAGAGTATCCAATAACCTTGAGAGCTTTTAGTAGGCTATGCTCACGAAGCCTCCTTATACAAGGAAAAATGAAGTTTAAGGTTGACTTCCAACCAAATAAAAAACAACAAAGTGAAGCGGTTAGTCTTCCTTCCAAATGGTGGATCGAAGCGATTAATCTTATTTCCAAATGACAGATCGAAGTGGTTAGTCTCCTTTCCACAAAATTCTTGGAGTGACTAGTCTTCAAGCTTCTAAACAGACTTTGTGGGCTTTTAACACTGGATAAGCTCACGAACCTTAAACCTTGGTTTTAGCACAGGATAACCAACAACCTGAGACATTTTAACACCGGTCTAATCTCGAACCTTAGCAAGATTTTAATACCAGGCTAATCTTTAACCTGAAACTTTAGTTTTACCACAGGATAACCAAGAACCTATGAAAACATTTATCACAAGCTGAGCTTTCAAACCTAAATAAGAGTTTGATCGCACAATCCTCAAATCAAAGTTTTAATGGATTTAGCTTCTAACCTAGAAAATTTCTAATTTGATAAAATGTTCAACCTAGGTATAAACAAAAGTCCCTTAGTGAACTTACAACATTACCCTTCCAGAATACAACTTCTCACTTGCAAAAAGTACTTTCTTGAAAAGTACTTCGCCTAAAGACTTAGCGAGACAAAGTAAAAGAAAATTTTAGAGAGAGAGAGAGAGAGAGAGAGAAGTATGAAATAAAACTCAATTCTGGATGATTTGCAATGAGGGAAGGGACCTAGATTTATAGGCTTGAGGTTGGCTAAAAAAGGAAATCGTTTTAAAGGCTTTTTATGACATACCAATCAATTGGGAAAATGTTAAAATCGATTGGTTTGTTACTTTACAATCAATTGTCAAGTTAAAAATGGAAAGAAAAGATATCTAGTCATTACCCATCATTAAGATAATATCCTAATCGATTAAGGAGGATTTTTAAATCTCCCAATCGATTTGGATAAGGTGTCAATCAATTGGTAAAGCCAAAAACTATGGCCATATCATTTCAGACAACTTTTAACTCATTTGACATGTCTACAAGACATTTTTGAAAGTATTTCTTTGAGAAAAACTAGTTTAAAAATGATTTTCGTGTGTATGATTTAGCCATGTACTTTTACGAAAACACCCTTATGTATTACATAATTTTCACTCAGGCTACTTGATGGAGGGCTTCCTCGCCTTATAAGACTTTGTCAAATACTCTCCTTCTTGTAGACATTTGATTGAGTTTACTTGCATGAGACTTGAGATAACTTCTACTTGGTTGCCATCATCAGATAATCAAGTCTAATAAATCCTAATATTTTGGTTTGCATCTTTAACCGCTTATACTTGACTTGTCATCATAAGATGTCATCATTAGATAAAGTTTTTCAGCATCAAAAGCAAAGTAGTTGTTTTTGTTAAAATCGTATCACATTCAAAACAAGGTTTCACATTCTCCCCCTTTTTGATGATAACAACACATCTCTCAAGGGAGGGGGTAAAGAAAAATAACACATATGTGTTTGGAGTAATTAAACTCTTCCTGAGTTAAATAGAGAGTATACTTCACTCCCCCTGAGAGTATACTTCTCCCCTTTTGTCAAAATAAAAAAGGCAGGTAAAGATGCATAACGAGAAATATAAATATGCACACATAGGCAAGTAAGCATTTAAGAAAGGAAAAAACATTGTCATATTTATTGAAAATAACATACTTAGAAATTCAAAGTACAAGAATGGAAATTAATGAATTTGAAAT